TAATACACGACAATGTCAACATGGGAACACAATGAAGGAGTCTTGGGACAATGAACGATGCTGTTTCAACTACAGACGCTACAAACATCACATGATGAAGAGGATTGAAAATGTAAGCATTTTTATGGACAGGATCGTGGCCTATTTCATGATTACTATACCGACATTCTCTTGGACAGACTGAACTGTCACAACAGTCTCATAAAATTAGCAGATAAGCTGAACAGAGATTCGAACAGGTGAACATGGCCCAGAAAGTTACCTGTACCACAGTTCACTCGGTGAACACGTATCTGTTATTAAGTACGTTCAGTACGAATACATGTACAGCTTGTACACGTTTTCTCGTCGCGTAACGGTTCGCATGACTGGGCTTAAGGAAACTTTATTGCTGTCATAACGATACAAGTTGATTTGCTTTGCCTTTGTGTGTGTGTGTGTGTTACGTCTTTTGTTTCTTTCTCCTGGCACGTAATGTGAAGGTAAATTTGTCCTTGGCTTTCATTAATTAAGCACCACAACATTAAGACGTATGGGGGAGTGAAGGTATAACTCCAAGCAGTCTTGACCTCGACAGTGGTCGAAGGTGAGTGGTCAGCTTTGAACCCCAGCGGCTTCAATCTCCCCCCCCCCCGCGGGGAAGAGCCCCAGCTACCCATTGGATAGGAGGCTGGGTGGGGCCCAGAACCGATTTGGAGTAAAGAAAAATCTCTTACCTCTGTCAGGAACCGAACCACGGCCGTCCAGCCCGTACCCTGACGCTATACCGACTGAGCTATTGCGGCTCTTACTTCAGAATTGGCTTCAGGGCTGTTTAGTAAGCAAGCAAATCAATAAATGTTATTATCGTTGTACTATTATTACAATAAAATGTGCTTAATTAATTAAGCACTACGCCATGAAGGCTTGTGGAGGGGGGTGGATGTATAGGTCCACATTTTCTGGAGGTTAGTGGTCAGCTTCATGCCCCGGCCACTTTACCCCCGGGGAAACAGCCCCCGATACCTATTGGATAGGAGGCTGGGTGGACCCCAGAAACGGTATGGACAACGTGGAGAAAATTGTTGACCTTACCGGGACCCGAACTCCGACCCTTCGGTCGCCCAGTCCGTAACTAGTCGCTATACCGACTACGCTATCCATGCTATTATTATTATTATTATTATTATTATTATTATTATTATTATTATTACAATTATTTTAACTTTTGTTTGTAAGTTTTTTCTTGTTTTGGTCTTCTTACGCGTGATAACTTCGTAATTAGCATCTGGACTGTTAAGTTTACACTAAAGACTAATAATATTATTAGCCTATACCTGCTATCAGTTACCAGCCGCACTATAGTTCTGAGATCGTCTCATCCTCTAACAGAAATGAGAACCAGGAATCCTCCTGGGGGTAAAGGACGGCCGGCGCTTAAAGTTGACCTCACCGCCATCTGTGAGGAGATTGTATAAAAAATGTGGAAGCCTCGACGTCTCACACAGGGATGGCTTTACTTTTACTGCTGCAATTCTCATTACAGGCGAGCATCCACAGACAATACGGTACGTGACGTGGCAACACTATTGTTCCAGTCGACTTTGTGGAATGCCAAGCGTGTGCTCTTCTTGCCAACGCGACCTTCACTTGTTGCGAAACCACCGTTACTGGAATGCGGCCATTTGGCTCCATGATGCACCCACCCCTCCCCTCAATTAGGGTAGCCCTTACGAAAGGGATGTCCAACTTAATCACACCAAACACCACGAAACAAAAACATGGTGGACTCCGTGCAGAAAGGTTACGCCTGTGTCAAGCAGTCTTTATCCCTGACGGAGGAATTCCTTATTCGGGGATGTGACGCCGTACAGATAGGTGGAAGTCGACAGACTTATTGGAGAGACACATCGCCTACATCTTCAGGGTGGAGGAGTAAGTGACGCGAGAAATACAGCACAAAGGAGACAGCAAGACAGAGACGATACGCCGACGACCTCATGAGAACATGAAAAAAAAAAAAACTCACCTTGGAATCAGAATGACAAAAGGTCGGTGTAGAGAGTGAGGGTACGTTACATGACTGACTTTATATTTTACAGAATATTAGTAGACACTGTTCGGGGCACGCGGTAGCGTAGTTGGTTGAAGCACTACGCTATAAGCCGTAAGGTCGCGTGTTCGATTCCCGATGAGGTCATTGCATTTTTTAATTGACATAAACCTTCCAGCCGCACTATGGCCCTGGGATCGACTCAGCGTCTAACAGAAATTAGTACCAGGAATCTTCCTGGGGGTGAAGGGCGGCCGGCGCGCAATGCTGACAACGTCACCGCCATCTTTGAGCCGACTGTCTAGAAAATGTGGGAGTCTCGACGTCTCACAAACGTTTGAGCCTCCAGTGCCAGTTACAGGGGTAGTTTAACGCGTAAGCCTGACAAACTCACGGCAATCTGTGAGCCGAATGAAGGAGAAGAGGAATGCATATAGGGTATTGGTTGGAAAGCCAGAAGGAAAGAGACCACTGGGAAGACCATTATGTGGGAGAATGATATTAATATTATCTTAGAGAGATAGGATAGGGTGGTGTGGACTGGACTGATCTACCTCGGGGTAGAGACCGGTGGAGGGGATTTTGTGAACACGGTAATGAATCTTCGGGTTCCATGTTGGAAAGTTGTTGAGTAGCTGCGCAACTGGCGGCTTCTAACTCAGTGGAGTTAGAATTGGAGATGCATGCAACCTACACGTGACCACGACTCAGCAAGTACAGCGGAACTTGTACGAGGAACGTACACTGAAGGGATGCGAATTTTTGGCAAATAAAGAAGAGACACTAAGAGCAGCTGAAGGTTCCACCAGATGAGTTCTGAATTGAGGATCAAGAGCTCAGCAAAGAGCCGCATGTACAGTCACTACCAAATAAAATGTATGTATTGATACAAAACTGGGTTAAACATTTGTTTGAACAGGCCACGATAGATACCGTTCAAAAGAACGCACACTACTATGGACGACCGTGGGAAATATGGTATAAGAAGTCGAAAAGTACTTTGAATCTATATACCATGAAAGTTTTACAAGAAGAAACAGGAACTTAATTTCAATATACAGTCATGACATGTAAAATTCGCATCATATTTTGGGGTATTATAAAAGTAAGGCAAAGCTATCCCTGTAACAGACCGTGGAGGCCCATGGGTTTGTGAGGCTCCCACATTTTCTAGACAATCGGCTCACAGATGACGGTGAGTTGTCAGCCTTATTCTCCAGTCGCCCTTTAGCCGCAGGAAGTTTCCTGGTACTGATTTCTCTGCGGGTGCTGACGATGACAGGTGTTGGTGAGGCAAGTGAATCAAAACCCGGGCGGGGTACCGTCTATCGTAACCGAGGGTTTTCTCAGTCTCCTCCAGCGACAGCAGAACAAGAACCGACAGACAACAACCTCGTTCCAAATCTTCAGTACAGGGCTCACCTTCATGGCCCAGTTCCCGTCCTGTTCGACACTTCGTTCCGCCTGCAGTTGCACAAAGCGCCACTCCTCATGAGGACGCAACATTATTAAACGGAGTGACTAATTCTTTCCTCTTCCGCTTATGAGGATTTACTCTGCGTTGTCGCAAATGAACTAACTCCAAGGAGCACCGACCTTCTTGAGAGGGCAGGAGTTGAGGTTCTCACACCAGTGGTTATGAAGAGTTCTGTCTTCTTGCATATAACGTCGTTTGCCCGCTGAAAGTCAACCGACATTTCGAAGGACATGTCGCTTCCATCTTCAGGGTTGAAGAAAAAGCCAAGCAAGAAACCAGCGTGAATGCAGGTGGCAAGCACAGACACGTCTGCTCGCCGTGTGAAGATGGAGGCGACATTTTCCTGCGTAACATCACGTTGACTTTCAACGGACTACACGACGTTACATCACAGAAGACAGAAACCCCGTTAGAAGTTCACAGTTGGCTGCGTTAGTCAGAAGTTTGCCCCGTTTATGGGACCCGAAGATTTATACACCGTGTTCACAACAGCCCGCAACTGGTCCATATCCTGAGCCAGATGAATCCAGTTCACGGCCGCCCTTAATGGTTCCTTAAGACATGTTCATTTTAATGTTAACCAACTTCTTGGAGCTGAGGACTTCTTGAGAAGCCACCAGTTGTGCAGCTACTCAAGAATTTCCCAGCATTTTATGGAACCCGAAGGTTCATCACCGTGTTCACAAGAGCCCTCCACTAGCCCCTATCCTGAGCCAGAACGATCCAATCCATATTTCTAAGATCCATTTTAGTATTGTTCACCCACCTACGTCTTTGTCTTCCTAATGGTCTCTTTCCTTCTGGCTTTGCTATCGATATCCTATATGCATTCCTCTTCTCCCCCATTCGTGCTACATACCCTGTCCATCTCATCCTCCTTGACTTGATCATTCTAATTATACTTGGAGAAGAGTACAAGTCATGAAGCTCCTCATTATGCAGTTTTCTCTAACCTCCCGTCACTTCATCTCTCTTCGGTCCCAATATTCTCCTCAGCACCCTCTACTCAAACACTCATTCTATCCATTTTAATATTATCCTCCAATATATGCCCCAGGTCTGCCATAAGAGACAATGTTGTGAGGTGTAGCAGCATGGCAAGGCGAAGCCAATGAACTGTCACCCAAACGCATGGCCAAATACCGTCACAAGTGGTCTTGAATGGCCTTGTAGGTTACGCGTGCGTCGTGGGAGCAAACATAAAACAAAACAGACCGTCTCAGCACCTCAGCTCTGACGGGAAGGCGAGTAAACATGGCCCATTGATATCATCACCAAACCCGAAAACTGGTGTTATATACTGGCATGCTCTGGGGCTGTGGAGGGTGGGATGGTGTACGTCGGCGGATAGTACATGGTCAATTAGAAGGGAGAAACACTAACAAAAAATATCCCCATAAAGATCATCCACAGAGTAAAGGGTTCCTGGAGTTTCATGCAGGGACGTGCTCCAACACTGCCGCATCCCAATCAAACTTGAACGTATCTTACTGCGATTTCGGCTTATCTTGTTCCTCTGCTGTTCGGGATGCTTACTGCTCGATGTCTGTTGTCGGCATATTTGCTTCGGAGCCAGCGAAACAGCCGTTGCTGGTGAACGGATCTGAAAGAACATTCCTTTCTAGGCAACAGCCACGAAACAGACAATGGAACGACGCCCGTTGCTAGGCAGCAGATTCTTAATAAGCAAGAACCGACTGTCGCTGCTAGGGAACGGCTTGGTAAACGCGTTCCCGCTGCAAAGGATACGCATACGAGAATAAAAGGTGTTTTCTATGCGGGCCGTGGCGAGGAGTTATGAGGAAGACAACTGGAGCAATCAAGTCAGTTCTCTACCGGAGTTTGTGAAGAAAAGAATCAGTTGGAAGGGAACCGCCATTGAGAAAGGACTTGAGCGCGTGAAGCTGAAGATTCTCCACCGTTAGAAGCCGTTACCAGGGAACTGCTGGTGAAGACACACCAGGCTACAAAAGACTTAGCGGGTGTTGTGGTGATTTGTAAACTGCAGAGATTAGCGGTGGCACTGTAATTTCCTGTAGTTCCGAGCTGTGTGGTGGACAACAAATTCAATACCCAATTCAAAATCCCGTCTATAGACACACGTGACACTGCATATAAGAGGACACGGGCTCCCTCGGTCGCTGGCGAAGTTTGGTGAATAATCCGTGGGATGGGATTCTGCTCTGTGGACTTTGTTCTGTGTACAGGCGACGTGCTTCCTGAGAATTTCCATTGGCACGGACACACGTGAAATGCGTGTCTGTCATTTCCGGAGCGGGTCATTAAGATTCCATTACAAAGCCATTAAACGGATTTCAAGTCGAAAGAGAATCGCTACACCAACTGCCTACTGCATTTTCCTTAGTTGTACACAAGTGGTGCTTATACTGAGTCTACTGAGACATGCAAAGGAAAGGCAAACAAACAGACGCATATGTCGCGCACTGACCTTCTCTTAATGCAAACTTCTGTCTTGTCCTAGCATGCAGCAGAATGCAAAACACGTCCATATCCCAGCAGGCACTGAGTTCATGACGTGTGTTGACTGGGGCGTTTTTGTTTGGTAAAGTGAGTACTATACCTCGCTCAAAGTCTGTAACTCTTTCTAACACCCTGTATATAAAAAGATAAAACATAAAGTTATCCTTGTAACAGGCCGTGGAGGCCCATAGGGATGTGAGACGTCGAGGCTCACACATTTTCTACAATAATCGGCTCACATCAGCCTTAACGCCTGTGACAAGCCGTGGAGGCCCATAGGGTTGTGAGACGTCGAGGCTCCCACATTTTCTACAATAATCGGCTCACATATGGCGGTGAGGTTATCAGCCTTACGCGCCAAGCTATCCCTGTGACAAGCCGTGGAGGCCCATACGGTTGTGAGACGTCGAGGCTCCCACATTTTCTAGAATAATCGGCCCACAGATGGCGGTGAGTTTGTCAGCCTTACGCGCCAGCAGGCCGCCCTTTATCCCCCAGGAAGATTCATGGCACTCATTTATGTCAGAAGCTGAGTCGACCCCAGGGCCATAGTGCGGCTGGAAGAATTAGGTCGACTGAAGAATTCAATGACCTCATCGGGAATCGAGACCACGACCTTCCGGTTTGATGTATCTGAATGTCGCCAAACTTGAGTACCGAGTCCCATTCGACGGAAAACCTGTCTGATGTGCCGGCTACAATGGCTGCACGTGATGTAACCACAAAAATCAATCAATCTGTTGCCATATCAAACGAGACGGTCTGATTAGACCGGATTAGACACTGGAGTGCATGACGGCGGAGCGGGGACCGAGGAAGAGAGCCCGAACATGCTGCCGATGGTAGGAGCGCTAAGGAGGAGATGCAGATAACAGATGAAGAGGAAGGAGGAGGGGACATAAAAGGCGGGAAACAAGACGTGGCAACCGTGTGCTACAATGCGGCGAGGGTCAACAAAAACACGCCGGGGGCCCGCGCTCTGCCAGAGCCAAAACTCTTAAGGGACGGGTTCAAAAGTTTACACTACTTCCCGCTTCTACAAGGCGTCCTCCTGGCGTTACGTCAGCCACTTCTCTGCAAACAGTGGTCTGCCGTTACGGTCCGAGGAAGATTTCAGTGGACTGACTTAGCAACTAGCTCGATTTTTGTTTATACCTTCACTAACATTTCTGAAGACGCCTCAACTATACATAAAGGTAAAGTTGTCCCTGTGCTTAACTAATTAAGTACTACGCCATGAAGGCGCATGGGGGAATGGATGTATAGATCCATATTTTCTTGACATTGGTACTGGTTGGAGGTGAGTGGTCAACTTCACGCACCGACCGCTTTACCCCCGGGGAAAGAGCACCCAGTACACATTTGTTAGGAGGTTGCGTGGGCCCCAGAGCCGGTCTAGACGATGTGGAGAAGAGAAAATTCTTGACCTCACCGGGACTCGGAACTCCGACCCCTCGGTCGTCCAGCCTGTAGCCAGTCGCTTACCCACTGCGCCATCCCGGCTTCCCAACTACACATATATTGTAGAAAGGGGGGATAATTATGAAACCTGAATTGCAAAATAAATATTCATGAAAAGTAGTCGTGGACTATTTAAGGAAGTATCGCAATATCCGACTATAGAAATGAATCACGACAATCGAACCCGGGTTCTCCCTAAATCAGACTTCGAGCTTGATTCCTTACTGATATTTCTGTCGATTTGTTCACTTTCGTCGAGAACATGCAAGCAGGGATAGCTCAGTCGGTATACTGGACGACCGAAGTATCGGTGTTCGATTCCCGTCAGGGGCAGCAAACTTTTCTTTTCTAGCTCATTTGATATAGCGACGCGTAACGGGCTGGGAGTCCGGGGTTCGATTCCCGTCAGGAGAGATTCTTCTCTATTCACAGCGTCCAGACCGGCTCTGGGGCCCACACAGCCTTCTACTCAATGGGCACCGGGGGCTCTTTCCCACAGGAATAAAGCGGCCGGGGCGTGAAATTAACAACCCGTCTAGTGCCGAGGTGAAAAATCGTGGAGCTATACCTCCACTCCCACATATTTCTTCATAGTGAAGTGTTTAATTTATTAAGCACCTTACTGAAGCGTCTAGACTTGCGCTGGGCCCCACCCGGTTTCCTATCANGGCGGGGGGGGGGGGGGGGGGGGGTAAAGCGACAAGGGCGTGAAAGTGTTCATTCATGATCATCCAGTGCCGAGGTTAAGGATGGACGGAGCTTTAAGTAGCCTCACTCGTCCATACGTCTTCATGGTGCGGTGTTTAAGTAAACATAGGGAGGACTTATTTGTTACGTCACTGCGGAATTAATGTCCGGGATTCGACTTCCAGAAGAGGCTTCCGGACTATTCATTACAACGTCCTGACAAGCCCTACAGCACCTCAGCTATTGCTCACGCGCGACCCCTTCACAACTTCATGGCGTGATGGAATTCACTTCATCTGACACCGTTTAACCTGGCAAATAAATACAAATGTTACGTTTCTGGATCTTATCCATCGTCCTGTTTCTATTTAAAAACACATAACGTTTCGGAGTTGGATTCTGTCTACGTCCTCAGGAAAGAAACTCCTAGGTTGTGTTTTTAAATAAAAACAAGGCGATGGATAACTCATTCGTTCATATTCATCAATGGCTCTACAGCCCTTTGTTGGGCCCTGGCTTCCTTTCGAGTTTCTTCATCTATACACAGTTGGTAGGGCTCCTTGGACGGGGGATCAGCCCGTCGCAAGGTCGCTACCTACACACAGGACTACATAAACACAGAATAAACGCAAACATCCATGCCTTGAGTGGGATTCCAACCCATAATCCCAGTGTTCGAGCGAGAGAAGACAGATCATGCTTTAAACCGCGCGGCCACCGAGATCGACTCCAGGAACATAATATTTGCGTTAATGTACCGTCGTCACAAACTTCTAGATCTTATTTACATGCGTTATTCTTCTGCCCTGAAGATGGATGCAGAAGGTTCCTTCGAAACGTTCGTAACTGCCAGACTACACGGAGTAATATGCAGAAAGACAAGTAATCATCACTGCCAAGGCCATGGAAACCGCGAGCGAACTATACCGACCGAGTGACCGCCGCTTTTCGACGAAGTTAGTGCCAACTTTAGCGGATAGAGAGTGTCCCGTGGTCAGCGCAACGGATCCCCACGACCATTAATCTCGGTCTTCTAGACCGGAACCGCTATTTCCTTGAAACAGCTCATCAATTATCCTCAAGAGGCTGAGTGGACCCAGTTCCAGACCCATTACTTCACAGGAAATCTGGTAACGCCGGGAATCGAACCTGGGACCTCTGGATTTCTAGCCAGGAACTCTGACCACAAGACCACATAGGCGGTCGATGTTGATGAAAATAAATAAATAAATAGGACTGTAGAGACTTTATTTAAAAACTATAAAAAGACAATACATTTATTAATCGATAGAAGTTGTACTTGTTTCTGAACGTAATGATGCAGGTTTGAGGAAACTGTCGAGTTTTGTGTGAACATACAAGTGACTCATCTGCCTTCCTAAATGCCATGCGTCTTTGTAAAGTATGTACTCAACTGTCCGGATTAGCGAGAGTTTACTGCAATTTCTCTACAGATTGGCACCCATTGTCACTGCCTCCGCTAACGAGGATTAACAGATTCTGCTGAGAAAGCCTAGAACAGGCGGGTTCTTATCAACCCGATAATGCACCTTCGGGTACCACACAGGGCCCAAAATTTCAGCTTCATATGAAATATCCCTTTCCATGGAGTTACTTGGACACGTCTAGAACGTTTTCAATTTCTGTTGGCTGCCACACACAATACCTGCCGGGACAGACCCAGAAACGGTAGATACGACAGCTTCCAGTGGTTTACCTCTGCAAGCCTCCGAGGTAGCGTGTGTACCGACTAAGCTCGGAGCACAGTAGCACCTTGCAGCTCCTGCCTGACCAACAACGGCGCTGAGACTTCAAGTTTATGAAGCAATTACTTAGCTTCACCTTGTCTGAAGTCGGACTCATTCGTCACAAAAGGAACTGAGACTTTCTTGAGAAGCCG